CATCCCAACTCCCAGCTCCCTTCCCGCCTGGCCGCTCTCCAGCCCCTCTGGAGCTGCCGGGGGTTGTTGTGGCCCAAAGGGCAGGACCCGCCCTTGGCCTTGGGGAACCTCATCCCGTTGGGATCAGCCCATGGATCCAGCCTGGCCAGGTCCCTCTGCAGAGCCCTCCTGCCTTCCAGCAGATCAACAACTCCCCCAGCTTGGTGTGCCCTGCAGATGTGCTGATGGTGGATCCGTCCCCTCACCCAGATCATCCACAGGGACATCAAACAGGGCTGGGCCCGGCCCTGATCCCTGGAGACACCCCTGGTGCTGGATCCCATCGGGATGCAGCTCCATCCTCACCCCTGATCCCTGGGGACACCCCTGGTGCTGGATCCCATCGGGATGCAGCTCCATCCCCTGAGCCCTGGGGACACCCCTGGTGCTGGATCCCATCGGGATGCAGCTCCATCCCCTGAGCCCTGGGGACACCCCTGGTGCTGGATCCCATCGGGATGCAGCTCCATCCTCACCCCTGATCCCTGGGGACACCCCTGGTGCTGGATCCCATCAGGATGCAGCTCCATCCCCTGATCCCTGGGGACACCCCTGGTGCTGGATCCCATCGGGATGCAGCTCCAGCCCCTGAGCCCTGGGGACGCCCCTGGAATATTTGGAGCTCAGAACAGTCAGGAGCAGATCAGCTCTGGAATATTGGGAGCTCAGGACACTCAGGAGATCAGCCCTGGAATATTTGGGAGCAACCCTGGAATATTTGGAACTCAGAAGAGTCAGGAGCAGATTAGCTCTGGAATATTTGGAGCTCAGGACAGTTAGGAGATCAGCCCTGGAATATTTGGGAGCTCAGAACACTTGGGAGCAGCCCTGGAATATTTGGAGCTCAGAAGAGTCAGGAACATCCCTGGAATATTTAGAGCTCAGGACACTCAGGAGCAGCCCTGGAATATTGGGAGCTCAGAAGAGTTGGGGGCAGATCAGCCCTCCCCTCTGTCCCCTGCTTAAGCCAGGCTTAAAATCCTTAATTAATTAATTAATTAATGTTGAGGTGTAAATATTCCAATGGAAATCCAGGCCAGTCAGGAGGGGGAATTTATGGGTCCCCTCTGGGCCAGACCACTGAGGTGAGGGACGATCCCAAAAGTTTTTCCCATGGATCCCCATCCAGGCGGGCGGGATCAGAGCCCCTTCTCCTTCCTCTGCCTGAAATGGTTAATAACTGATAATATTCCTGATAATTAATCAGCAGGAAGGGCTTCTTGTCACCTTCTGCTTCCCTGGAATCAGAAAGGAATTGTGGGGTGGGTTGGAAGGGACCTAAAATCCCAGTTTTACCCCAAATCCTGCTGCTTTACCCCTGAAATCCTGCTGGTTTTACCCTCAAATCCTGGTGTTTTACCCTAAAATCCCGGTTTTACCCCAAATCCTGCTCCTTTACCCCAGAATCATGATGTTTTACCCCAAATCCCGCTGCTTTATCCCCAAATCTTGCTGCTTTACCTTAAAATCCTCCTGATTTTCCCCAAAATCCCAGTTTCACCCCAAATCCTGCTGCTTTACCCCAAAATCCTGCTGCTTTACCACAAGTCCCAGTTTTACCAAAATCCTGCTCTTTTACCCCAAATCCTTCTGCTTTACCCTAAAATCCTACGGGTTTACCCTAAAATCCCAGTTTTACCCCAAATCCTGTTTCTTCACTCCAGGTTCCTGTTGTTTTGCCAAAAAATCCCAGTTTCACCCCAAATCCTGCTGCTTTACCCCAAAATCCCAGTTTTACCAAAATCTTGGTGTTTTACCCTAAAATCCCAATTTTACCCCAAAATACTGGTTTACCCCAAAATCTTGCTGCTTTACCCCAAAATCCTATTGTTTTACCCTAAAATCCCAATTTTACCCCACAATCCTACTGTTTTACCCCAAAATCCTAGTTTTACCCCAAATCCTGCTGCTTCACCCCATTTCCTGCTGTTTTACCCCAAAATCCTGCTGGTTTTCCCCAAAATCCTACTGGTTTTCCCCCAAATCCCGGTTTCACCCCAAATCCTACTGCTTTACCCTAAAAAATCCCAGTTTTATCCCAAATCCTGCTGGTTTCCCCCAAAATCCTGCTGGTTTCCCCCAAAATCCCAGTTTCATCCCAAATCTTGCTGCTTTACCCTAAAAATTCCAGGTTTACCCCAAATCTTGCTGCTTTACCCCAAATCCCACTGTTTTACCCCCCAAATCCCGCTGTTTTACTCCCAAATCCCATTGCAAATCCCGGGAAGACGCCTTGGGAAGAGCGGGATGAGGGGATGGGATCCCCCTGGAAGTGGCTCCGGGAAGAGCGGGATGAGGGGCAGGGATCCCACTGGGATCAGCTCTGGGAAGAGCGGGATGAGGGGATGGGATCCCCCTGGAAGTGGCTCCGGGAAGAGCGGGATGAGGGGCTGGGATCCCACTGGGATCAGCTCTGGGAAGAGCGCCCCAATTAGCGCCGTAATTAACTCCATTCCCGCCTGGAATCCCTCCGGCAATCCCACGGGATTCCGAGGGGTGTTGTTGACGTTGTTGTTGTTGTTCCCTCTGCTTTCCCAGGGGTCGGCACCAGGAATTACTACCGGAAGCTCGGCTACGAGCTGGAAGGGCCCTACATGGTGAAAAGCTTGGAATGACGATCCAGGGGGAGCCGGGAAGAGCTGGAGACGCCGCCTGTCCCGGGAATGAAGCCCCGAATTCCAAAGCTGCTTCCACAAAAAGGATGGAATTGGACTCGGCGATCCCGGTGGGTCGCTTCCGGCTCCGGATGTTCCCGGATTCCCATGGAATGGGGCGGGGAAACCCTGGGAGGGGCCCGTTTTTCCCCTCCCTGGAGAGGTCGGGAATGTTCCAGGTATCTCCAACATTCCAGGTGTCTCCGGGATGGACTCCCAGGCTCGGAATTTGGGAATCTCTTTGGGAATTCTCCCAGTGGGGAAAAAAACCCACACCTCTCCTTTGGGATGCTGTCAGGGGGCTTTTCCTGGCATTAAAATCCTGCAATCCCAATAAAATTCCCTCCCTGGGGCTCGGTTGTTTGTGCCGGGTTTTTTTTTTCCCCTCTCCTTCTTGTCCATCCCAAAAACATTCCCAGGTTTGATCCTTTTCCCAGGAGACCACGAGGAGTGGGAGCTGAAGCCTTGCTGGGTGGGAATTTGGGATTAAATTTAAGAGATTCCTGGAATAACTGAGGTTGGAAGGGATCCGGTTGGATCAGGATGGGAATGCTGGAATGTCTCCAGGGTATCCATCCCCTCATCCCGGCGGGATTTCTGCTCCTGGGGGATCTTTCCCACCTCTCTCTCCCCCCTTCTCATCCCCCCAGGGTGGGTGGGGAGCCCTTTGACAATCCGGGATTTCCCAGACAGGAAGTTTTGGGATCTCCGACCTTCTCCACCTCTTTTTTCCCGGAATTCCAGTGGGAAACGGGGCTGGAATCCAACCATGGCTCGTGGACACTGCGGCATTTCGGGGGGAAAGGCTCTCCTGGCAGTTCCCTGTCCCTGCTGGAGAGGGCAAAATAACGGGAATGCTGATGACGCCGGGGGTATGGAAAAGGAGGAGGGAATATCCGGGATCAATCCCAGTTTCTCCTCGCTGGCAGGAAACGGGAGAGGCTCCTGGGAGCAGAAGGAGCTGGAATGGGAGTCAAACAGGGCCTCTGTCTCCAAAACAATCCCAAAAATTCCGGGATAACGACGCCCAGGAAGGACTCGGAAAATCCCCGGAAACCCGGAAGGTCCGGAGGATCTGAGGGAGCATCCCGGAGTTTTCGGGATGTTCCCGTTTCCCTCAGGAACTCACCAGGATTTAGGATTCCAATTCTTTGTGTCCCACCCCAGAGGGTTTGGAGAGAGCAGGAGACTCCCCCCCAGTCTGGGATTTTTCCAAGGAATCCTTGGATTCCCGATGGGAAGCTCCTCTCTCTCTCTCTCCATCCCAAGCCCTGGCAGTGCTGTAATTAAAACCAATCCATCAATTAACCTGATTGGAATCCCCTATTCCAGATCCACACTTACTGCTTTTATTATTAATTTTATTGATTTCATTATTAATATTATTAATTTCATTATTAATTTTATTTTATTAATAGTAATTTTATTATTAATTTTGTTGTTGTCAACTCTATTAATTAATTCCATTATTTATTCTCTTATTTTAATAATTATTAATTCATCATTGATTTATATCCCCTCCCCTCAGCTTTTCTTCGCTCACCTTAAAGAGGCCGAAAATTCCTTCACCCCACGGAATTCCAACCGGAATTCCCAACCCAAATGCCGGTGGAATTCTGGTTCCTCACAGGGATCTGCAGCTTCACCTTGGGATTCCCCCCTTCTCCGAGTGGGAAGGAGCTCCTGGCCCTGGAAAATGGAAATTCCTGGACAATCCAGGAACAAAACGCCGGGAAATCAGTGGGGAAAATCCCTTTCTCAGGGAGTTCCACCCACCTGGAAACTCTGGAAAAGGGAGAGGAGGAAGGAGGAGAAAAAATTCTTGGTGGAGGTGACTTGAAAGAGTTAAATTCCAAACTTACCAGCTCCAACAATTCCCAAATTCCCATCGTTCCTCCCGGAAAGGGGATCCAAATCATTCCCAGGAGTCCTTGGAAAAGGCTCAGCGGGTGGGAAAGGCTGGCCTGGAAAAATTCCTGACCTCGGGAATTTGCTGGAAGGGAATTTGTTCCCTCGTTCCTCCTTGGAAAACCAAAGGATTTCTCTTGGAAAAGGAACAAAGAGCAGGAATTCCAGCTGAGCCCGCTTGGGAGGAGGGAAAAAATTAATAGTGGGGGGAGAAAGGTAAGAGCTTCTCCAAATATATCCCTAAAAATCCCTGGGAAAGGATGGGAAATCCTATTCCCACTTTATTAGTTGGCTCCTTTTTGGTCCCATTTTATCTCTTTTTTTTTTTTTTTTTCTTCTTGGACAGCATTCCATAGGGTATGGAAGGCCTGGCAGCAGAGGAGCCAGAAAGGGAATTTTTGCCTTAATTTTTACACCCTCCCAGGGGATCTGGTTGGAATGATTTTTCCAGCTAAAGCACCGATTTGGGAATGTCGAGACCATTCCCTTTGTCTCCAAGGCCTGGATATCCCAGGGAAGCAGCCAAACTCAGGAGCAAGGAATGCTGAGGGCTTTTGGAAAATCCAAGCCCCCTAAAACATAAACAAACAAACAAACAAACAAACAAATAAATACCCAACTTCGGGATTTTTTTTTGGTGGCAAATTCCCAAGGAAAAGCCACGTCCAAGGCCCACCTTCCCTGAGCTTCCCACATTCCCTGAGGCAGAAACATTGGGAAGCTCTGCTTGGAGTAACAGGGAAAAGGGTTCCTAAAAAATTAAGGGAATGAGGGAATTTTGCTTCATTTGTGCCTGGCTGGGTCAGTTTTAGTGGGATACAAAGTGGTATTCCAAGGAAAAGCTTCCAAGAAGCATCAGTTTTAGTGGGATACAATGAGGTTTTCCAAGGAAAAGCTTCCAAGGAGCATCAATTTCAGTGGGATATGTGGCAGCTTCCCAAGGAAAAACTTCCAAGGAGGATCAGTTTTAGTGGGATACAATGTGGATTCCCAAGGAAAAGCTTCCAAGGAGCATCAATTTTAGTGGGATATGATGCAGCTTCGCAAGGAAACGCTTCCAAGCAGCATCAATTTTAGTGGGATACAATGAAGCTTCCCAAGCAGCATCAGTTTTAGTGGGATAGGATGCAGCTTCCCAAGGAAAAGCTTCCAAGCAGCCTTAGTTTCAGCGGGATCCGGTGCAGCCACCCGAGGCTGCAGCCCCAGCAGCCCCGGCGTTCCGGGGCGATTCCATATCCATGGAAACCCAGAGCCATCGCCCGGCACGATCGCGGCGGCCCAGCGGGATCCCGAGCCCCGGGAAGCTCCGGCTCCATCGATCCGGAGCCGGCTAAGGAAGGGAAGGAGCTTTGGAGCCACGTTCCCCGCGGGGGAAGGAGGAAAGGGAAAGCAGCTCCTCCCCCCGGGAAGCTTCGAGCGGGATCGACTCAGGAGATCGATCGAGTTCCCCGCAGGAGCCGCTCAATCTTTTCCCCACCACCCCCTCCTTCCCTTCGGAAGTTTTCCTCCCCATCCACGTGTCCCTGCGCTTCCATTCCCGATTTCCTGCAGGGCCATTCCCTGGCTCCTCACCCTGGTCCTCCTCCTCCAGGCCCCCCATTCCAGGTCATTCCTCACTTCCTTGCCCTGTCCCTCTTGGTCAGTCCCCTTCCCCTCCCCATCCCAGCTATTCCCAGTATCCCACCTCAATCCCCTTCCCTTCCCCAGCTATTCCCAGTATTCCACCTCAGTCCCCTTCCCTTCCCCACCCCAGGACCCTTTTCCACCTCAGATCCTTCCCCTTTTTCCTTCTCCCATTCCCCACCAGTCCCTTTCCCACCTGGAGCAGCCCCTCAGCCCCAG